TGTATGCAAAAAGGAGGAATTTATATATGTGTATGTATATTATATATGTATATTATATATATATTAATATACATATGTTGATTTATATATATATATGTATAATACACATATATTAATCAACACCTCTTATTATGGCTATGTAAATATAACAATCAAATAAAACAAAATACAAATTTAATGACATTGAATCAGAAAATCATTAAGCAACTTATATGGTCAAATTCAAGCCTCAATGGCAGAAAAAATGTAAAAGCAAAAACTCACACTCTTCCCTTTTTCCAACACGGCAAGCACCACTACGGATGAGGGACACTTTGCATCTGCAAATAAACCAAAAGTAGCAGGGTTATTCTGATTGACTCTAGTCTCCAAACTAAGAAATCTCAACATATTCCCATAAATGCAGATGCCCTGGCAAAAACAATCTTATCCCTGTGTTTTGCCAGGCAGATGAGTTTGTGGATGTGATAGACGTGCAAGAAAGCTGCTGACTTCTAGGAATGTGGTTCTTTTTGTTGTCATTAAGTGGGTTCTGACTCATGGTGACACTCCTTGTGCAGAGTTGAACTCTTTCACAAGATTTTCAAGGCTGGGATCTTTTATAAGCAAATAACCAGGCCTGTCTTTCAAGATGCCTCTGGGTAAGTTCAAGTTGCGCCACCCAAGGGCTCCTATGACCAAGGTGACCTTGGTCTTTTTTTTCACCCTTTAAATATTCGTTGTGTTTTGTATTTGGTGAGCCAGTCTTTCTGAAGTCTGACTCCCTTGTACTTTTTGGAAGTAAATGTTTACTTTTCCTATCCAAATATTTCTGCCTCTGAGTCTTTTTTTTTTTTTTGACAGCATCTGCTATGTGCCAACACCATGCCTGGGCTGAGGATTTGGAACTGAATCTGAACTTTTGCCTAGCAGAAGTTCACAGTGATTGAGGGAAAGAGGCCTACCTGTAAAAAGATAACTTCTCCCTCAAGTACTTGAAGTACATTAACTCAGTAATACCACCTCTGCTTCCTGTGGCAGAAGGGAGTTCTAAAACAATTATTTTTCAAGGCCACCCACAGCCTCCTGAACCAGCCTCATCTCTTCAGGCCTAGGCTGCTCATGACTTCTTCCAGTTCCTGAAACATGAATCCTCTCCCCATCCTAGGCCTGTGTTCTTTTCCCTGCCTCACCAGCTCCTTTGCAGGGCTATGGCCTACCCTTCCTTCCCAACCAGTACTAGTTGCTACCATGTTGATTCCAACTTGTGGTGACCCCTTGCAAGTCAGAGCAGAACCGTGCTCCACAGAGCTTTCAATGGCTGAGTTTTCTAGATTGCTAGGCCTTTCTTCCAAGGTGCCTCTGGGTTCACTCACACCACCAACTTTTCAATTAGCAGCCAAGCCATTAATCATCTGCACAACCCAGAGACTCCTCTTTCTTTCCCATCTCAGGTTAAACATAATTTCTTAAGGAAATCTTCCCTGACCACCCACACTTTGCTGTAAACTCTCTTAACACTTGGAATTTCATTGTTGAACTTCTCACAGTTGTAATAAATGACTTATTTATGTAATTCTTTGTTTACTGCCCATCTTCTTTGCCAGACTGCAGATTCCATAAGGACAAGGACTGGTTCTGTTTTCTCTCACCTTTCTGTCCCACCACTTCCACAGTGCACAACAAGTAAGTGTTCCTTCCATAAGAACCTATTGAATGAGTAAATCAATATCCAGTGTCTCATGGGGATTCAGAAAGATTTAAGCATGGCAATTAAGTCAGGATTTCTGTCACTTTTGTGGTACTTGTTGAGTTAGTTATTGACAGAAAGACAAGGATGAAATTTTTGGGAACATCAGGTTCCAAACTCAAAACATAAGAGTTTGAGGTTATGTACCATTTTGAGATCATTGATTCCATTTATTCACTTATTCATTGGTGTGGTAGTTAAAGTTGTGTATTAACTTGGCTGGGCCATGGTTTTTGAGTGGCTGGGCAGCTGGATGTAGGTATTTCTCAAGATGAGATCAGTGATCAGCTCCTTGGTGGAATCTGCTATGAACAGCTAACTAATTGTTTTTGGGGTGTGGCCTGCTTCCAGTATATATAGAGAAGCCATGAGGAAGGTCTCAAATTTTTTGGTACTTCTGGATCCTGCAAAGGCCTAGCAATCTAGAAAACTCAGATTTGGCTGAGTCTTCGTCTCAGTGGCCTGCCATATTGCCTGCTGATCTTGGGATTGTTCCTGGACTTGAACCAGTGGATTGCCCTGTTGTCTGCTAATCTTGGGAATGTGCCACTTTACTTGTTGATCTTGAGTTCATCAGCCTCAGCAGCCAGCTGCTACATGAGTCGGAAAAAGCCTCCAGCTCTAGTGGGCCTGGAACAGGAGGCAGAGCTGAAGCCCAAGGTCAAGGGGCCTTCACTCAGCCCCTAGAACCAGCACTTGGAACTCAGACTTCTAGCCTCCTAAACTACATGAGAATAAATCCCTGTTTGTTAAAGCTATCCATTTGTGGCATGTCTATCACAGCAGCACTAGAGAACCAAGACAAATGGGTACTTTACTAAGAACCTGCTATGTATCAGGCACTAAGAATAGATACAATATCTAAAAGTAAATAAAATTGTCCTAGTCCTTGTCTTTATTGAGTTTATAGCATAATGAGGAGAAGGATATCATGCTTGGTAAAATGGAGGGTCAACAAACAAGGGGAAGACCCTCAACAAGATGGATTGACACAGTGGCTACAACAATGGTATAGCAATGATCGTGGGGCTGGCACAGGACCGGGCAGTGTTTCGTTCTGCTGTACATAGAGTCACTATGAGTCAGAGATGACTCAACGGCACCTAACAACAGCAACAGTGTAGTGAGGGAAGCAGACGTTAATAAAACATCTTCATCCACATAAAAAGGTAAAATTATAACTGAGTCAGGTGTTGAGAAAGGTACACAGTACTCTGACAGCCACAGTAGAGGTTTTCCCTTTTCTGCCTTTTCTTCGGAAGAGATGCCTGTCTGAGCTATAATCTGAAGGATGAGTAGTGGTAAAGTGACCGAAAGGGGGCAGTATTGGGAGACAATTCTCCATAACTCTCTTGCATTTATGTAGGTCTTATGAGCAGAGGTCATGACTACTTTTGTTCCAGACTACCTTTTCAGTAATGTGTGTATTGCACACAGCCTTGGAAGATAATGTCTCCCTCTGGAGCAATAGACAGGTTTGTTTACTGTCCAGGATAATAAAGATAATGTCCAATATAAAAGATTTGGGTTCCTCAAATGCAGGGTTCCTTGGCTGTGATGCAACCATTGTGTATACAACATCACCAGGGCTGCTCCAGTATGACTGCCATGGGACTTGGGGGCCAAGGGGAAGTGATGAGAACATGAGGCTCAAGTTGCATGCATGAGTCATGAAAGTCCTTTATCTTTGACCTAGGAGTCTTGTGTCTTCTCCCAGCATCCAGGAGACTGTGGTCAGCTATCTCATTAACTGCAAGTAGGGTTTGGGCAATCCTACTTCCGTAGTGATACTGCCTCGGAAACCCAAGGAGGGGTCGCTATGAGTCAGGTTTGACTCGACGGCACACAACAACAACAACAACAAGGGTGAAATCTCAGACCCTTCATAGTTATTGACAAGTAAGTAAACGACACACACAAAGAACCTGTGGTGGAGACAGTATAGCAAGTATAAGGATCTGGAAGAAGGTGTGTATGGCTGGAGGGTAGGGAGTGAGCAGTGCATGGCATGAGCCAATGCTGGGAGGCAGTAAGCTGTAAGATTCATGGCCAGTATTACTGAGGCAGGCCTAGAGGGTATCTTGGCCATTTGGTGTGACAATGCTGCCTTCATGTGAGAACATGTGGAATAAAAACTGAGCTGGAGAAGCACAGTACAGCAAGGTTTGGGTCAATCTGAGCCTATGAGGTAATTTTTTAACAAAGGAAGAGAATGAAAATAGGAGGTATTTTCTTAACATCCTGAGCCCTATTATGAAACTTCTTGCTAGTTTTCAATATCTCTGTTAGAAATTAGCAGAAGTCTGCCTCTCAGTGCCCCAAATGAACAAAGAAAAATTATCACTGGCTGTCATTGCTGTCAATCATCTTGTATACAAAACACAGTCACCTTAAAAGGGAGAAGTGGTGACACTTTGGTATTCAGAGTATGACTATGTACAAACAACTTTTTATCCACTCCTCTTACAATAAAAGGGAGGGCTGTTCCAGTTTTGGATGAAGAGAAAGAAAGAAAGGCCAAGGAGAGGGAGTGAGGAAAGAGACCTCACCAAGACAGGGCTGTAAAGCCAGCGTGAATAACATGATTATTACCTAATGTTATTGTAAAAACAAAGAGACTTTGTTGAGGAGCCCTCTGACCCATTGTGGCTCTTGGAGTTCTGAACATTTCACTCGCTGCCTGTTAATTAATTCATAGCCAGCAAAGAAAAAATGGAATTGTCCTGCATCTTTGGCCAAAAATGCATCACAAACAGGGGCCAAGCCATTAGAAGCTGGATGATCTCGAGAATAATGAGAAGGCACTGAAGATTTGAAGAGGGTGAGTTGTTTAGACTTGGGTTTCAAAAGCCTCACTGGAAAAGACTGGCATGAATCAAGAGTCAATTGCATTTACTCTATGGTACTTCAAGCCTTGTAGCAGAGCTTCCTCATTCTTCAGATCTGGCATTTCAGACAGCAGGCAGAGCAGCATCTGGCCTCAGAACTCTTTGGGAGAATTTCACACTCCTCTTCCAGCTTTTCCTTTAAATACTCAGCACCTAAACTGCTAAAAGGAGGGGACATGGACCTGAAAGGGTGCCTCAGCCCAGGCTCTTTGTCTTCTTCCCTCCAATGCCCTCTTGCCCTGACCTAGACTCTCCACCAGTCTGTGGGAAACAGCCTGGAGACAGAGAGAAAGTTTGAGGGGGAGGTTAGGTCAGACAGGGTGATGCTGGGCTTGGGAGAGAAAGAACAGCCTTGTTTGGGGCACTGAGGGTTTCACAGCTCCATGGTGCCCCTAATCAGCCTGGCCACGAGCCTGGCCGGAGGCTGGAGCTGTATAGGTAGTGGCTGTCAGGGAGGCCGGGGAACTGCTGGCAAGGAAAGGAAGCAGGGGGAGACAGGTCTTTGAAATAGGCCAAGCCGCATACCCTGGGAGCCCCCCCCAGATTCTGGCCCTGACGAGGTACCTTGGAAGAGGTTCCTTCTGAAAATCTACCGCGATGTTTCAAAACTCCAGAGTTTCTCAATCCTCCTTCGTGGCCCAAAATGCTCTGACCTCTCCACTCCCCAGCCTCAGAGTTCCTGAATTGACACACATCTCAGTTCCGGTAAATGAGCTCGGGGCTTGGGGGAGTGGAGTGGGATAGGTATAAAAAAGAAGGTGGAGGCCTGGGACAAGGCCCTGTCAGGCAGCTGAGCACCAGGCCCCCAGGGAAGTGGAGGAGGAGGCAATTCCCAATCTGCTGCAGCTGAGATGTGTCTAAGGGAGGCTCACCTAGGTCTCTGGGCTGGCTAGAGTGTATTAGCGTTGTGATTTTCAGGCTGAAGTGTCCAGCAGGCCACAGAGCCACTGTAGGGTGGGGCCTGGCCTCCACCTGCGTGTGTATGTGTGTGTGTGTGTGTGTGTGTGTGTGTGTGTCCCTGGGGAGGGCCTGGGGAGGGAAGTGGCTATTGTCAACCCCTTGATTGCCTAGGGGAGTGAGTGAGAGGAAGGGCAGGATGCACTTGCACCATCTGACCTGTATTTCCCTGCAGGTTTTGCCATCCTGGTGCTGCTCCAGTGTTGTAAGTAATCTATGACCTATTTTCAAGTCCTGGGCGTTGGGAGTAGGATGGAAGTCTTGACAGTATTCTAGTTCTTTCTGTGATTCAAATGGCTCATAGAGACTAACATTTATTAAACTGAGATGATGGGTATATGTTTTTGGGTTTCTTTTTAAATACTATTCTTACTTTTCTGTATATTTGAAAGTTAAAAAAAGAAAAAATTAAAGACTCAGGTTTAGTAAGGCCCTGATGGGAACCACTAATACAAGCCCAGTAGCCACATGGATGATTGATGCCCACTCTTCTTCCTCTATAATCAAGAGAGCAGAAAGAGCTTAATTTGCAGTAGGAAGAATTAGAATCAGAGAAGAGGAAGAAATTCCTAGTCTATTGTGATATTATGTCCCAGCTTACTTGCCACTCTGCAGTTGGTTACAAATTAGGAGCACTAAAGAGATGTGCCAGAGGCTCTCAGGTCAACAGCTCCACTGAAAGTCCCACAACAAGGCTATCCCCTGAATGTCAAGCTGTCTTCCCACACTGGCTTCCTTGCCTAGGTCCCTCCTCTTCCTCAAAGCCATTGCCTCCAGGAAATCTGCTCCACTGGCATAGAGTCACCTATATTTCACCTTTTTCATTAACCCCCACTATCAACCCACGCAGTGCCCTGTTCTTAGTCTGCAGAGAGTTCAGTGAGGTGTATTTGCTCTTTTCTAAGTATCTTTAGACTATGGCTAATTTTCTTCAGACAGGGAACTTCCCAGAGTCAGGGGGCCTTGAGTCAGCCCCTTTCATTTAGAATTCTGTCTCCATTCCCAATTCTGGCCCCTACCCACAGCTCCTTGGAGCTCAGCCCACCTCTCAGCCAGAGTCTCTGGCTGTCCTAGCCCAAGCCCCACACCAGACATTTCCTTCAGGCTCTGCATACAAACTGGTTTGCTACTACACCAGCTGGTCCCAGTACCGGGAGGGTGCTGCAAGATGCTTGCCAGATGCCATCGACCCCTTTCTCTGCACTCACGTCATCTACAGCTTTGCCAACATAAGCGACAATGAGATCGATACCTTCGAGTGGAATGATGTGACGCTCTATGACACGCTGAACTCACTCAAGAAAAGGTTGGGCCACTGGCTGGAGGGGATAGAGGGTTAGCTGGGCTGGCCACAGGGCAAGGAAGTTTTGCCCAGAAGGTCGGGTGAGGACCCACGGCACCTCTGTCTGAGTTGAAAATCAGAGGGGCTTGGGCTTCTGTGGGAGGAGATAATGAGGGCCGGTGTTGGCAAGCATTTGGAGGGGTGATAGAGGCAGACTGTACAAGAAGACAAGGACTGAACTCCCCTAGGAGATGGGAGGAGCCCTCTTCTTCTGCAAAGGGGCCTCTCCAGGGACCATGGAATATGCTTATCACTCAATTCTTCCATCCCTAGCTTCCCTACTAAGGAGAGCAAGAAATGGGCAGCATGCCTCAGAGTAACTGCCACAAAGTCTATGACCTCTTGTTCATTGAATCTCATGGTTGGAAGGACCTCAGAGACCTAATGCAGCCTCCCATCTAAAGCTAGAAACCTGCTTTGACCTCCCAGATACGGCTTCACTCCACTACCACTCTCTTCTCTCTGTGTCTCATAGGAACCCCAACCTGAAGACCCTCCTATCTGTCGGAGGATGGAGTTTTGGCTCTCAGAGGTAGGCCCCATACCTCAGGGCAAGACTGCAGAGGTTGATGGAATAGGAGTCTAATTTATCACTGTAAGGAGGCACAGGGGACCCTGACTGATTGGGCAAAGAAGCCAAAATAGTTGTCAGGGACCTTAGGCCTCAAGGACAGCCAAGGAATCAAAGCCCAGAGAGGGATAGGGACTTGTCAAGAGTCACACAGCAAGTCGACAGTGGATCACCTGGTCCCCTGACTGTGCTCTTTTTACTACCCCTCACATCTGAGAACAAAGAATAATTGGGGGCTACTGGCATATGGGGTTGGATGGAGAGAGATGTAAACCAAAGGGAAGATTTTGAGGTGTAGGACTTCCAGGAGTAGGTAGAGGTGGAGGAGGACTTGAAAAGGGGATGGAATATGACCATAGAAGCTCCCATTTACTGAGTGCTTACTTTGTATGTGTCAGGCAACCTTTCCAGCCATTATTCCATGTCATCATCACAACAGTACTATGAGGTATTATACTCAGCCCTGTTTTACATGTGGCAAAACTGAGACTCAGGTTATAACCTGACCAAAGTGGCTGAGCTAGTGATAGAGCCAGGCCTGGAAACCAGAAATGTCTGACTTCAAAGCCCATGTCCTTTCTAAGATGTCCTGGGATGGGTCCTGTCTTACCATGCCCTCTTAGAGCTGAGTGGGCTCAGGCTCGTGGCCCTCCAGGCCCTCTTCGTGTAAACCCCTTGTCTTCAGAAACCCCATCAGAGGACCAAGACCCCAAACATATTGGTGCTAAACATACTACTTGTGTGATTTTGGTTCTAGATTTTCCAAACTGGCCTCCAACACCCAGAGTCGCAGGACATTCATCAAGTCAGTGCCACCCTTTCTGCGGACCTATGGCTTTGATGGGCTGGACCTGGCCTGGATCTACCCTGGACGGAGAGACAAGAGGCATTTCACCACTCTGGTCAAGGTGCTGGTTGAGTGGCCTGGGTGGGAGGAAGTACACAGGGAGAGGTGGGCAGGCATCAAGGAGTGGGGTGTGTTAGAAGCTGATAGCCTCTTGAGGGCAGGCAAAGAGGAAATTAGGCCTCCCTACGGCAGGGTCCTGGGGCCCTGGACCAGAAACAACACAAGCTGCCCTGAGGATCTTACACAGTGAGGAAGACATCTGTGACCCTGGTGGGAGTTGGGCTGGGGTCCTAAGAGGCGGAAAGTGATAACTCCCATTTAGTGGTACATCATTGTCCACTGTTCAGTACCAAACTCATGCCTCCAATACCAGCATAGACTGTATCCAGGGACATTTAGCTCCATCTAGGGGCAGTTACCTCAGGGGCAGTTACCTCAGGAGCAGAGCAATAATCTAAGCAAACTGCCCACAATACCAATTATAAATCACTTTAAGTTTGCAATTTCACATACTAGCATGAAAAAAGCAGACTGAAAGGGAAACTTCGTTCAACATCATCTGCGGGCCAGTTGGGATTACTCACTTTCTGATAAGTCCCTCCAGGATAGGGAAGAACTGCATGCTCATGAAGTATGGATGGGGTGTGGGGAAGGACATTGGCCCAAACAGTTTTTGGCAAAAGGATGGGTGACCCTGAAGGTGGGACCACTGATGGGCTACCTTATTCCATTGAGCCCCAGGGAGGTTGGGGATCACAGCAGATGGGAAAGCCAATGAGGTGCCTGAGACTTCAGCTTCTACCCATAAGTCTCCCTTTCACATTGTCTGAGTCAGAGGAACACAGCCCTCTTTCACTCACCCGCTTGTCTCCCATCCAGGAAATAAAGGATGAGTTTGAAAAGGAAGCCCAGTCAGGAACAGAACAGCTCCTGCTCAGTGCAGCTGTGTCTGCAGGGAAGGTCAACCTTGACCTTGGCTATGACATCCCCCAGATATCCCAGTGAGTCTCTGCCTCAGGCACCCCCCAGCAGCCTCTGCACACATCCCTCTTTTCCCTATCCTACCCTAGTGCTCGATGTAGAGTCAGGGCACTAGACTTTTAGTCCCAGTGCTTCCAGAATCTCAGAGTGTGACCTTGAGCAAGTCACCTTCCTGCTCTGTGCCTTAGTTTCCCCATCTGTCAGGCACGATATAATAATCCCTGCCCTACAAATTTTTTCACTTGGGGTGCTCTCCTGACCAGCTGAGAAAGTTATTGTATATGTGTTTTGGAAAAGGAGTTAGGAAAAGCTATACAGCCAGCCAACCATCAGTGGACATAATCTGGATGCCAGTCCAGCAGAGGGCTAGACTCTGAAGAGGCAGCAAAACAGTAATAGTATCTTTCCCTTCTGGAATGTTAGGGAGTTCTCAAGCTGCTTTCACACATGGTAACCCTCTTTCCAGTTCATTCACCCTCTTATCACCCTTCCCTGTGCATATGCATGTTAGTGGTCAGTAGCCAAGCAACTGGTCTCTCAGTGGAACAAAAGCAGGGATCTTGGGACACCAGAAATAAGGAACTAAGGCTCTTCTATTTGATTTTAGACTGTTTTGTAGGGTCTTAAATGAGCAGTGCTGTGCCTAAGGCACTTGACCAGTAACTAGAAGGTTGGCGGTTCAAACCCACCAGCTGCTCTGTGGAAAGAAGATGGGGCAATCTACTTCCATAAAGATTTTTAGCCTTGGAAACCCAATGGAGGTGACTATGAGTCAGAATCAACTGGATGGCAGTGGGTTGGGTAGGGTCTTAGACAGGTATAAACTCAGTGCACAACTTGGCCATTTAAAGGGTGGAAAGAAGTGGCACTCAACGATTTACCCAAACATCCAAAGCTCATATACATAAAATCCACCTATAGCCCTAGGCCTTCAAGTCCTACCAGTATGGTTGTAGAAATTTTCCATCCTACTCCACTGTTTCTATGGGTTCACATTAACCTTTGGCAGCTTGTAACGCCACTTTTAATCTGCTTTTACCAAAATGAACATGGCAGGAGTGGAGGGATGACAAGAAGATGGAGCCTCACACAGATATGTATGCTGGAGGCAAGACAGGAGAGCCCTGTTCTTGCATTAAATGCATGTGTGGGACTCTGAGTCCACGCCCTGACATGGCACAGAGGAGGTGGCCCAGCAGCAGATAACAATTGAAAACCATTGGGATTTGGGGGTTCATGGCTTTTCTCCCAGCTATCTGCTTGTCCTGCTTCACATCCCATTGGGTAATAGATTTGAAGCCAAGAGCATTTCTAATTTCAGGTCATTCCATCAATCCCCTTCTTCCACAGATACCTGGATATCATCAACCTCATGACCTATCAGTTTCATGGAGCCTGGGATCAGACCACAGGACATCACAGTCCCCTGTACAAAAGCCAGGAGGATGCAAGTCCTGACCGATTCAGCAATGCTGTGAGTGCATTGAGGTGGCCCAGCAGCAGATAATTGAAATGAGGGCCTGGAGGGGGTCCACAAGACCTACCACATTTACACACCACCCATCTACTCCTGCAAAGGAGGGGTTATGAGACCCATTTCACAGATGAAGAACAGGCCCAAAGTTTGTGCATTCACCATGGCTCCTGGAATGAAGAAGGTTATACCTCCATAAAGGGCCAGGACATCTCCCAACAAGTCTACTGGGTAAACAAAGTGAAGGCAAGGAGAAGAGTAGAGAAAGCACAAATGCAGGAGTAGGGGCTGAGGAAGCTGGGGCCTAGGAGGTGGGCATCTTTTCTTGACCTGCCATTCACCTACTGTGCAACCAGAGAAAATCACCTATTTCTGCATCTGTCAAATAGTAATAATCCCTTTCTATACCTAATAGCAAGGGGCAGTGGTGGTTCAGCGGTAGAATTCTCATCTTCCATGTGGGAGACCTGGGTTCAATTCCCAGCCAACACACCTCAAGCACAAGCACCACTCATCTATCAGGAGAGCACTGCTACAATGCTGAACAAGGTTCAGTAGAGCTTCCAGATTAAGACTAGGAAGAAAGGCCTGGAGATCTACTTCTGAAAAACAGACAGTAGATCACAATGATTCATAGCCGCCTATGTCTATGGCAGCTAACAACATATCTAATAGGATATCTTTTGAGAATGAAATTATAAGATGCATTACTGGTTTCCAGAGGGAAGGGAAGGGAAACCCCAGATTTACTTTATACCCATACCCTCCCCTTTCAAGGCAGCAGTATTAATTGTACACCTTTCCCCATTCATGCACCACCAACCTAGTTAACTGGTCTCTCTGGTACTGTCCCCTCCTATCCCCACCCAGGACTATGCTGTGGGGTACATGTTGAGGCTGGGGGCTCCAGCCAATAAGCTGGTAATGGGCATCCCCACTTTTGGGAAGAGCTTCACCCTGGCCTCCTCTGAGACGGGAATTGGAGCTCCAATCTCGGGGCCAGGAATAGCAGGCCGCTTCACCAAGGAAGAAGGCATCCTCGCCTACTATGAGGTAATGGGATTGGGAGAAGACAAGGTTTCCCAACATCACCACCAGCCCTAGGGAAGGTGATCCTCCCACCTCCACTTTGCTCCTTTAGGAATAAAATATGTCCCCATTGACCCAGCATCCCTGAAGCAGAGGAAGGGGGAAGGCTTTTTTCTACTGATAGTCTCCCACAGGTACCCTGCTCCCCACCGCCACCCTCATGAGGAGCTTCAGGGAGTTCTCTCTGTCTGATGAGATGGGATCTTCCCTCCAGCTAAGGGAAAGCAATGGCCAAGGGCAGCCTCTTTTGCTTTAGTGCAGCCTCTGCTGCTTTGGCTGCGCATCCTGGAGTCAGTTCTCAGTGTTGGCCCACCATTTCCCATACCCCTGTTTAAGATGGAGGAACCCAAGAACTCTCTTAAAGCTCTCACCTATGGCAGCCACAGAGAACTTTCTGGCACTTTTGCATCTGTTTTACATAAATTTGCATGAAGGCTGCAGACTTTGGGGCAGGTGCTGCCTGCAGCACTGGAAGATGAGGCTACAGGGGGAAGCCGGGGCAAGACGAGATCTGAAGAGACACATCTCCCTAGGACCTGCACAACACTGTAACACTACCCTTATCTTATTCTCTGCATAGATCTGTGACTTCCTCCACAGAGCCACAGTTCATAGACTCCATGGCCAAAACGTCCCCTACGCCACAAAAGGCAACCAGTGGGTGGGGTACGATGATCCAGAAAGCATCAAAATCAAGGTAGGTTTCCCCAAGGCCAAGCCCCAGGACAGAAAGAGGGAGAAGAAGGCTCTGTCCCAAGCAGCCAGATTTGGGGCCTTCTTGCACTGAGGGAAAGAGCTCTGGTGGCACTGTGGTTAAAGCATTGGACTGCTAACCAAAAAGTCCATGGTTCAAACCCACCAGCTGCTCTGTGGGAGAAAGATGAGGCCATCTACTTCCAAAAAGATTTACAGCCTTGGAAACCCAATGAGACAGTTCTACCCTGTCCTATAGGGTCACTATGAGTTGGAATCAACTAGATGTCAGTGGGTTTGGTTTTTTTTGATTTTGCACTGACGGACGAGCCCTGGTGGCACAGCAGTTAAGCACTTGACTGCTAACTGAAAGGCTGACGGTTGGAACCCGCCAGTTCCACAGGAGACAGATGTGAAAGTCTGCTTCCGTAGATTAAAACCAAACTAAACTCACTGCCATCAAGTCATTTCAGACTCAGAGAGACCCCTCCTTGGATTCCTGAGGCGGCATCTGTACAGAAGTAGATTGCCCAATCTTCCTTCCAAGGATTGGCTGGTGGGTTTGAACCACCACACTTCTGGTTAGTAGTCAAATGCCTTAGGCACTATGCCACCAGAGCTCCCATCAGCCTTGGAAACCCTATGGGGCAGTTCTACCCTGCCCTGTGGGGTCAGAATTGATTTGGCAATCTGGCAACGAGAACTCGACAATGGGTCTTGCACTGAGGTGTAGGGTTTTTGTGGGTCTCAGGAGCCTGCTATTCCCTTTCTTGAGGAGGGGTCCACAGAGCAAGACCCCCCACTGCCCAAGAAACCCAGCCCTGCCCCTCTCTGGGCCTCCCCTGCCAGGTGCAGTACCTGAGGAACAAGCAGCTGGCAGGTGCCATGGTCTGGGCCCTGGACTTGGATGACTTCCGAGGCTCTTTCTGTGGCCAGAATCAGCGCTTCCCTCTCACAGGCACCATCAAGGATGCTCTCCTTGCAGCTTAGACTCCCTTCCCTGTCCTTCTGCTGCCCATTCCCTCTGTATTCCATGGGGCCAGGGATGTCCCACACCCCTGACTGTAGCTGGCCAGGAGCCTGATCCCGGTCCTGTTGAGTGCCAATCTCAGCCTCAGTCTCCCTTGCTCAGCCTGTACAGAAAGCCACAGCTCCAAGAATTGGCTCAGCTTGGGGAACAAGGGCCTCCAGGCCAGCATAGTGTAAGGCACAGGGTCACTACACACTTGCTGATTAATGAAAATGCTTATTGACCCCAAGCCCAACATAAGGGAATTTCTCCATCTCTTTTACCTCCAGCCAAAAGATACCATTTGTAGCTTTACCTCAAGTAGCCAGATATCTTACAAGAAGCCACACCCATATATATGTGTGTGTGTGTGTATATATATATATATATACATATACATATACATACACACACACATATACGTATACATACATACATATGCGCATGCACACACACACACACACATATTCCATGCAAAGCCCAACTTGAAACCTTCCCCCAGGAACATAATCATGTCTCCCATCCCACTTCCCTTTCTAATTCCACAGCTGCTCAATAAAGTACAAAAGCTTAACAGTGTACGACACTTGCTTCAGTCCATCTTTGTGGCCTCCCTGGGCCCACTGGGCTTACCTCCCCAGCTTTTCTGGATTCCTCTCTCTGAGGCATGGCAGCCTAAGCTTGCAGAAGGTGAGGCCACCATGTCTCTATGGAGTCCAGGCAGCCCCAGTGAGAGACCAGCACCCTCAGCCTCATCTGCCTTGGACTTAACCCAAGAAGGCTCTAGGTCATCCAGATCTTAAAGGCATTGTCATCAGGCTTCTAAGTTTCTTGTGAAAGAAAATATTCCGCTTCTGAATCCCAGCAAGTGATGGGGAGGAAGCTCTTTAGTCCCCTCTCTTCATCTCCTTTGTTCCCCCGAAGGTGGTGGAAGCCAACCATAGGGCCAGTTTAGAGAGCCCTGAACCCTGGACTCTCAGAGCCAGGAGGAAAGCAGAGGTCATCTTGTACATATTCCTCCCCTCCCAGGGCTAAACTCTCTGCAGCTGAGTTGATTTTAAGTTATAGAGACCCTCTAGGACAGAGTAAAACTGCCCCATAGGGTTTCCAAGATCGTAAATCTTTGCGGAAGCAGACTGCCATATCTTTCTTCTGCATAGTGGTTCTTCTGGTGGGCTCAAATTGCCAGCCTTTCAGTTAGGAGCCCAGTGCTTTAACAACTGTACCACCAGTACTCTTCTCTGCAGGGGACTTGAAAGATACTCCCAATGCCAGGAGTCGCTGGGTAGTACAAATGTTTACATGCTCGACTACAACTTGAAATGTTGACAGTTCAAATCCACCCAGAGTACCTCAGAAAACACACCTGGCAATCTGCTTCCAAAAGGCCAGGGCCTTGAAAACCCTATGGAATATAGTTCTACTTTGACACCCATGGGATTGCCATGAGTCAAAATTTGACTTGACAGTAGCTAACAACCCAATGCCAGGCAGCTTTCTACCTCACCATTGTTGGGCTGAATGGTTGATCCCAGCACTGTCCTCTGGAGGGACATAGGTCACTCATCCTTCACTTCTGTGCCAGTCCCTGCAGAGACCAAGGCACCTCTCTGCTCAGGTGACCTGAGACATGGAGTGGGAGTGATGGGATGAGTAGGGAGACCAGTCCATCTCCCAGCCTTTATAGTTGGAGAGCCTCTCACCAGCTTTCTGTGAACACCTATGCTCCTGGATATGCCTGTATCCAAAGAGAGTCCAGATGGTCACTCCAAAACCAAAGAGAATTTACTTGTGGTTTCCATGATGTTTGGGTAATCTGTGACTTGGGATAATCACAAGTTGGCCTGATGCTTCATGACACTGATTTGAGGTGTAGGTGAGGTGGCTGCCCTGAAATCTGAACCAGCTGGAACTGGGCACATGCAACTGATCCCAAGGTCACAGTCTTGCTAAAGGCAAAGAAAGTGAGAACTTGGCTAGGGTCTTGGAAGGAACCAGACCTTTCACTCACTGCTGGCCAGTAAGGTCAAGCATTCCCTAATCCCTGTCCATTGCCCATGCTACCCCACAAGGGGCTTTGAAACCTCAGTGGCTATGAGCCTTCTTTGGCAGTCCCTCAACTCCCCCCCAAGACACCCTTCCCCCAGCTGGGACAGGCTCCCTAGGGCTGACTCAGGGTCCTGCCTGGTTAGTCACATTCACTTATAGCTACAGAGTCAGAGGCCAGGGATGGGGATCAGATCTCCATGGCCTGTCCCCTGCCTGGTAGGACACTGAATCACCTCCAGGAAGCATGGACACCCAGACAGGATAGGTCCCAGAAGCTCCCCAGGCCCTCCACTGCCACTCCCCAACTCAATAGCCAAGAAGATTAAGAAGCAACCAGACACTTGCAATGTGTTATCCCTCCTGTACCCTCCACTCAAGGCTGAGGACCTGCTACTCATTACATGTCTATTTGTTTTAAAATAGTAGGGTAAATCAGACATGCTTAGGAACTTGAGTGGGGCAAGCAGTTTGAGATCAGCTGCTAACTTAAAGTTTGGAAGTTGAAACCCACCCTGTGGTTCCACGGAACAAAAGCCTGGCATACTGCTTCCATAAGGATTATAGCCAAGTAAATCTTATGGAGCAGTTCTGTTCTGTAATACATGGGGTCACTATGAGTCAGGGGTAGACTCCAAAGTAGCTAACAACAATACTTCATACATGCTAAAGAGTGCAGAGATCTCATTTAAACAATTGTTATAACACAACCACCTGCATAATCAGTACCCAGGACAGGAACTGAAACTTTAGTACCCTGTAGGCCAGCACAGTCATATACATTCCTGCCCCTCCACCTACAGGCAGTCCCTCATCCTGACTTTTGAGACAAACTTGTTCAGGCTTTCCTTTATGGTCTCCCCACCTATGAACACAACTTAAAGAAGAGAGTGTGGTTTGGTTTGTTGTTTAATTTGATGTAGATGGAATTACACATAGGCACTTCTGCGTGTCTTGCTTTTTTTTGCTCAACATTATGTCTGCAAGATCTGTGTTATTTATGACTTGTGGCTGAAGTTTGTTGGATATATTCCATATTTTGCTTTATAGTTGCATAACTACTCCACAGTTATTATCCATTTCACTGTTGACAGAGTTGTTTCTCCTCAGATTTTGACTATTATGAACAATATGTGTGCTGGGACACATATTTGAGAAATGCTCTCTGAATGTGTGTGTTTCCAGGAACGGATCTTCTAGATCATAGGGTATGCATGCTTTCAGCTTTATTAGATACTGTCTTACTTTTTTCCAAAATGGATGTTCCACCATGCATTCCCACCAGCAATGAGAGTTCTCATTGCCCTCCTTCCTCCCCAACACATTGGATTTTCAGGCTTTTTAATCATTACCAGTCTTAAAGTTTTATTGAATGAAGGAATAAATCAACAAATCAGTAATGAAAACTTTGGTCATACTTGCCTCATCTCCCCCATTGCAAATGTCCATCCATGCCTACACCCCACTTCAAAGGGTCTTGAAGTTTGAGTGGTGTCCTCCTCCCGGATCTCTTCATCTCTTTATCACACCCCCAAGGGCTAGCAGACTGTACACGTGTTCTCTACACTTGACGGGAATACTGAGGCCCAGAGCAGGAACTAGGGGAGGCCGGGTTCTCACCAGCCTCACCAACAGAAGTAGTAACCAGAAGTCTTCTTTCCTAGAAGGCCATTGTTGGAGGGCTTTCCTCCAGCCATCTCTGTCTTGGACATCCCAACTTCCCCCTTCTGTAATGCTCTTCACCTCACCCAACATAAGAGAGAGTCTCCAAAAAATGTGGGTGTGTGGGGAGCAAGGGACCCCAGGGCAAAGCTGAGAGTACTCCTCTGAGAAGGCTGTTTGAGGCTGTCTGAGCCCAGCACCCAGCCTGAGAAGACCTGGGCACAAGTGGCCCCAAAGAAGCCAAACACACCGAACCTGATCTGGCTCATTTTCTAGATGAACTCTCTTTTCCCGTTGCCCTGACCCTTGGCACAGGCCCCCAGTAAAGTCCCATCTCACCCATCTGCTCCCTCCCCCCATCTGGGCACCAGCACCCTGGCTGCCAAGACCCAATCAGGCGATGGAGGAGGTAGTATGCTCCTCCAGGGACCCTGTGGTTCCTCCCTCAGAGCTATTCCTGGCCTAAGCGCCTCCCTGTCCCCCAGTCCTCCTGCCTGACCTGACCCCACAGCTGGGAATAATTTGGCTGGGGGTGGGGCAGCCCCTGCCTATATATGCCTGGGCCTAGGTGTCCCAGGCACCCTGGAGACCCAGACCCTCTACTGCTGACCCCTGCGCACTGCAGCCTGACCTGTATCCAGCCCAGCAATGACAGGAAAAGCCACCTCTGAAGCCCCCACCTGTGGTCCAGAGGAGTCAGCTTCTGAACCTGCCAAGGTGCCTACCCCAGAGGCCTCCGGAGAAGTGGCAGCACCAGAGCCCCCTGGGGAGGGGCAGGCTCCCCAGCCACAGGAGCCTATCCCTGAGGCACCTGCCCCAGCTGCCCCCATGGCTACTAAGCCTGCACCCCCAAGCGAAGGTGACGAGAGATGGGCACATGGAAGAGGGGAGGCAAGCATGGCAGGGAGGTCGGGGGGGAGGTTCTGGACCCTTCATCTCACTCTGGCTTCTCCCTTAGATGTCCCCAGTGCCCCACTGTTGCTGACCTTGGAAGATGTGAGCAACAGCTCAGTGACTGTGAGCTGGGAGCCCCCGGAGAGGCTTGGGAGGCTTGGGCTGCAGGGCTACATATTGGAGCTCTGCCGAGAGGGAGGTGAGCTCTAGACTAAGTCCTGTAAACACCCAGGGGAGATGGGCTTGAGGAGTGCAGGGATAAGTCCCCAAACCCTGCAGTTGGTCAGTCTGGATGGAGGTGATATGTAAGGAGGGAGTGTAGGTGGCCCCTCTGCTCCACTGGTATATTTTGAAAGGCAGGTAGATGTCCAAAATGATCTCAGCTGGTCCTCCAGCTCCTGGGAGCCTCTGAGTAACAGAGACAGAAGGGCCTGGACACTGGGGCTCTGCTCTAATAAGTTAAAGAGAAGCTGAGTCTCAGAGGGCTCTGTTTGGGGAAGACAAAGTAGGAGGTGGAGTGCAGAGAAGCTGGACAGGGGGGAAAGATAGAGTGAGAGGCAGTGAGGAGAAGGAAGGGGAGCCCTCTGGCCAAGTTCCTATTGCCACTGCCCACCTCCATGGCAGCCAAGTTCAGCCTGGCCTCTACCTCTGCCTCTACCTTGCTGTGTGGTCTTGCAAATGTGACTAACTCTCTCTGGGCTTTGGCAACCCCATCTCTGGCTATGATTCCAGGGGATAGTTGGGATCTAAGATTAGGTGCCTTTGATGCCACTTGATAGTGATAAAGCAAAAGATGGGAGATATAAGGCCCAAACAGTGGGGGAGGGTCAGCTTTCCCCAACCAGTAGCAAGAAGGGCAGCCCTTAGAAGGGGCTCAGGACCTGGTGTCCATAATCACACAGCCTAATGCCTCACACTCTCTCCCTTTCCCTCAGCCTCAGAGTGGGTGCCTGTGAATGACCGGCCCATGATGGTGACCCAGCAGACCATGCGAAACCTTGCTCTGGGAGACAAGTTCTTCCTGCGTGTGGCCGCGGTCAGCTCTGTAGGGGCCGGCCCACCAGCTGTGTTGGACCAGCCTGTCCACATCCAAGAGATCATCGGTAAAACCCTGTCTTTTCTTCTCCTGCTCCTAAGCCCTTCCCAGATACTTTAACTGATGCATAGAGAAACTAAGGCCAATGGGCAGAGGTAACTGGGCAGCTGTTCCCTCACCTCACACTCACGGGTACAAACCCCATGCTCTCCCCATCTGGCCTTAAGAAAATTCCAGGTTCCCCAGCCATAAGGGGCCTCTAGAGGTCAAAGGGAACATTTCCATGACTCCCAGAAACAAAGGCTCAAATGCCACAGGCCACCTGACTCAGGGTCACAGAGCTAAGAGTCAGTCCACTCTTACTCCTACCTAATCTTAATCCCTCCAGGGGCCATGGAAACTCATTTTCTGGCCACTTGCTGCTCGCTTCATAATGGCCTGAGCTCCAGATTCTCCCTATACAGGGAAGGCTTTGCTCACCCCTTGTTGCACCATGTCCCTGGTAGGAGGAAAAAGAAGACCTGCAAAAGGTCCCTGAAGGCTTCACCATCCCCAGAGGGCAGGGCTGCACTGGAGACCCAGGAGGCCAGCTGCTGTCCCTGTTGCTAATATTTCTATTTGCAGGGTGTATTAGCCAAAGTCCTACCCTTGCTGCCCTCCCGGGGCTGATCAGGTTACAGTCTGTTAATGGCAGTGAGTCATTTGGTCTGATCCAAGGTCTCTTGGGACAGCCCAGGGCCCTAGGGTGAAGAGAGACACAGGCAAGCAGGTGGCCTGAAGCCTTCTCCACCTTCCTTCTTGCTCCCCCACCAAGGGGGCAGACACTTCCTGTCAGAGGTTGGGGCAGAACCCCACAGCACTGGGAAAGACCTGCAGAAAGAGTGGGCTTCATGGCCACAGGAAGAATCAAGTCCAGATTCAAGAAAATCTCTCTCAACTCTGTGTCCGAGAGATGTGGGAGCCATTGAGTTAGGATGGATACTTAGAATCGTAGACTATTACAGTGGTCCATCCAAGCCAAGCACCTCATCTTACAGGTGAAGAAACATACTCCACGGAGCCCAAGGACTCCCAGAAGGTCACCCAGCCTGTGAGTGGCAGAACCTGACTCCCACTCAAGACCATTCATACCCGCTTTCAGCTACCCAGGCCTTGATGGAGTCTTATCTGGTAATCTGCAAATGCAAGAACATTCCCATACTTTTGAGTTCAGGTGAGATCCAGCCCCACCTGACAACTTCATTATGGACACATTGACTCTGGGTTGGGAGGGCCTGGACCTGCCTCCAGAGCCCAGGGTTCTTAAAGCCACAGGACCCTTTCTTCAGAAGCCCCATGCTGAAGGAGCCAGCCAGCCTCTGCACCCACTTCTTCATTTAAATTCCTCTGGCAGAAAAGAGGGGGATTTCCTGGAGAGAAGAGGGGGTGGAGGCCGTGAATAAGCAAAAGCAGCCAGGCCCTCTTTGTGGGCAGGGCAGGGTGGCGGCCCTGTCCAGAATCCTCAGCTGCTCAGCTGTCACTCCTTGGCCACCTGGAGCTGCCAAGCATTCCTGGCCCCCTGCAGCTGCCCCTGGAGCATTCCACGCCTGACTGCTCCCAAAGCCAAGTGCCTGCACATCTAATCCTCAGAGACACAGTGTTCCTTCTCACTGTCTCCTCCTCCTCCATCCTGCATGCCACCAACTGCTGCCACCTGTTTGGCACTAAGGAGCTTCAGCACCCAGCCCCTATCTGAGGAAGGGCTGGGAATGGGGCAGTGGTGGCTGCTGATTCCATTGTAATGCTCAGAGACTCTAGTGGTTACACTGGATTAGGTGATGGTTAGGAAAAGTTCCCTACCTACCATAGCAGGGGCCTGAAGTAAGACTGTAGGAAGAACTTCCCAACTGTGAGATCAACAATAGTGGGGAGGATGACAGAGGAAGAGGGGATATCCCTGTTCTAAATGCACGCACTGCCATCAAGTCAGATCTGACTCCTAATGACTCTACCTTGGGTTCCTGAGGCAGTATCACTACGGAAGTAGATTGCCCAACTTGGAAGCAAGGAGTGGCTGGTGGGTTTGAACCACTAGCCTTCTGGTTAGCAGTCAAATGCCTTAGACACTATGCTACCAGAGCTCCTATCCCTGTTCTAGTCTCATTTAAAAAGAGAGAGATCCCAATCCTCCCAATATGATCTGAAGACAGAGGAATGGTGACAAAGTCTCATAGGGGCTTTTCTGAAGCTTGTGGGGCATGGGGTGGGGGTGGGGGATGGGGGAATAGGGGCTGCTGGATTAGGAGGAAGCCAGCCATTGCCTCCCTGCCCCAGGAGTACAGTCCCAACAGATGCAGCACCTGCTGCCCACTAGGGGGAGCCAGGAAGCTGGACAGACCCATCTGGAGCTTGGGAATGCCAACGCTGCAGGGCAAATCCCAACCTGGCAGGGTGGAGGCGCTAAGGGAATGCTCAGGATGCTTATCAGTTCACACCACAAAGGCCATGCCCTCTTCAGGACCTCTTGGCTCTCCACTCCCCTTAAGGGCTTCGAGCCCCTTGACCACGAGAGTGAGATTTGCCCTTCTTACAATGAGGCAGGCCCAGATGGCCAGACACACCCTGAGGCCCTCCTGTCAGGCCAGCAATCCGTACCAGCTGTCCCCTTCCCCTCACCCAGAAGCCCCCAACCAGCTACCACTGCTGTGCTAAGCCTAGACTCTGGCTTTGATGCAGAGCCCCCCAAGATCCGTGTCCCCCGCCACCTTCGTCAGACCTACATCCGCCAAGTGGGAGAGTCAGTCAACCTGCAAATCCCCTTTCAGGTGAGTGAGCCTCCTGCTCAGGATGAGATCCTGCTCTCCTGTGTGGAAATCAGTGCCTCATTTGGGGTGTGTCAAGGCAGTCCAAGAAACATTGGGCTCCCCATAAGTGTCTGCCCAGGCCCCATCAAGACCACCTCATTCTCCCTTCGCCACACACATGACTCCTTCATGATTCTCTAGCCCGTGGACAGGGCAGGTAGTCTCCCAAGGCTAGACACCTGGAGGACTTGGCTCTGGGCAGTGCCTGAGGATCTAACCTCTGCTGCACCTCCAGGGAAGGGCCATTGGGACAGGCTGCTCTGGGCACAGCCCTAGAGAGTGTTTGAGTGGGGTGGGCGTGGAGTGCCAGCACCTCCATGCACCCACCCTGAGAGCTCTTCCCTCTCAGGCAAAGTCTAGGCCTCAGGCCTCATGGACCTACAATGGCCAGGCCTTGAACAGCCAACAGACAAGCGTGCGCACGGGGGACCAGGACTCCATCCTCTTCATCCGCAAGGCCCAGCGCTCAGACTCAGGCCGCTATGAGCTCACCTTACAGCTGGAAGGCCTGGAGGCCAAGGCAGCCATTGACATCCTGGTGATCGGTACAGGGCTGGGCAGGGAGGGCTGCCTTGTTGGAGAGCCCCCACCTCCCTGCTCAGTGCTAACAGCTGATGAGAACAGGCCAGAGGAGTGTAACAGGAGCCAAGTCTTCGGGGTGGGGACTTTGTGGCAAGGCCTGCCCTCACGCTCACTCCTCCTTACACTCTGGTCCTGCAGAGAAACCTGGCCCCCCCAGCAGCATCAAGCTACTGGATGTCTGGGGCTGCAACGCTTCCCTTGAGTGGACACCACCCCAGGACACAGGCAACACAGAGCTCCTGGGCTACACTGTGCAGAAGGCAGACAAAAAGACAGGGGTGAGGCAGGCTCGGGTGGGGGGTGAGATGCTGAGTGGGGTCCGAGGCCCATCCCATTGAGTCTAGGGACTGAATCCTAGACTAACTTCCCTAATCTGACTCCCTGTGTGGCTCTTGACAAGACCCTTTTCCTCGCTGGGGGTCAGTTACCTCATAAAGACTACACACGGGGCTGGCCTGGGGTCTCAGAGGCCTTTCAAGATCTCTTTGTTGTTAGTTCCCATTGAGTGGTTTCTGACGCATGGTGTCTCCATTTGTGCAGAGTAGAACTGCTCCATAGCGTTTTCAAGGCTGTGACCTTTTTGTAAGCAGATTGCCAAGCTTGTCTTCTGAGTGGGTTAGAATCTCTAACCTTTTAGTTGGCAGCTGAGCGCTTAACCATTGCACCATCAGGGCTCCCTTTGAGTAGTCAGGCTCTAGAATTCTGACAACCCCAGAGAGTTCACCTTCATGACCCAGCAGCTCCTCCTCCCAAAGTAGGACAGCTCAGCTTCCCAGGGGTGGGGGTGGGGGGTGGAATGGACCCTCTGAGGAAGAGGCTGCCGGGCCAGCAGGCGGGTGAGGCTGACGGGGTGGAGTTCCGCAGCAATGGTTCACGGTGCTGGAGCGCTACCACCCGACAACCTGCACCATCTCCAACCTCATTGTCGGCAACGCGTACTCCTTCCGGGTCTTTGCTGAAAACCAATGTGGACTCAGTGCCTCGGCCGCGGTCACCAAGGAGCTCGCCCACGTCCGGAAGGCAGGTGAGTCTATGCCCCAACCAGAAATGGAGCCAGGGCTGGTCGCACCACCGCCCTCGTGTTGTCTCCTCCTTTCCACCCCTCCCTCTGGGCTGTTTTTAGCGCCCTCTCCCAGGAACATGGGCTGCGATCCCCACAGCTCTGCCCACCCGCACATTTACACTGTAACATAATGGTTGTGGCTGATTAATTTTCACAAACACATCAAAGTAACCCTTGAGCTGAGCAGCACCCCTTGGGAGGTTGTGTACTTATTGGACAGGTGCTGCAGACTACTGACATCATAGGGGTCGCTGGGTCTCATGTGAAGTATCCCAAGAGAACTCTGTAGGGAAGTGTGCATGTGGAGAGGTGGACTTTGGAGTCGAGAGTTTGCTAAAGTCATGAGCCTCATAGCCCTAAAAGAATACCACATCAATAGACCAAGAGATGTGGGCATTTACTGTCTCTGCACAGGTGCCTGACCAACTCTCTTGTGTCACCAGTGAACTCCTGAGCCCTCTTTCCCCTGTCATCTTGCATGCTCCCAGGCCCTCCCCCACTCAGAGTCTGGGTGGGCTCAGAAGCCTCTGGGAAGGCACACTCTTTTTAACACCAGCCTAGGCTGCACAGAATTAAGGAGAAAATGTTGTTTAAAAAACGAAAGCCAGCAGTGTCTCCAAAGACAAACAGAAATGAAATATGGGATCTCTGGGTTGTTGGTCTCCATCCTCTGCCAAGATCTCATCTCACTGGTCTTCCTGTCCCCTCCTTTCTCAGCTCCCCACCTACCCACCTAGGCAAGAAGCTCACCCACTAAGGGCGTTAGTTTCTCATCTATTAGATGATGAAGAAACAATGTTCAGAGGCCTGCTATGCAGATTCAGTGATCTACAGATGTAAGCAGTAGTGATTGTTTTAGGAAAATGGATGAGGTCAGTCCTCAGAGGTCTCCTGCACTCCTGTAGCCTCAAATCCACTATTTAACCCCACTTTCTCCCCTGCATCCAGATATTGCTGCCAAATCTAAAGGGTTTATTGAGCGAGATTTTTCAGAAGCCCCCTCGTTCACCCAGCCCCTGGCTGACCACACCTCTACCCCTGGCTACAGCACTCAGCTGTTCTGCAGTGTCCGAGCATCACCCAAGGTGAGAGGGCTGATTGGGGCAGTGGGGCCAGCAGACTGAGGAATTCTCCCAGACATCTCCACCTAAGCCTAAAGACTGCCTCCAAGGGCCCAATCTCAGACCACAGCCTTTCCAGCTCTCCTCTATGTCCTCCCAGCCCAAGATCATCTGGATGAAAAACAAGATGGATATCCAGGGGGACCCCAAATACCGTGCCCTCTCTGAGCAAGGCGTCTGTACCCTGGAGATCCGCAAGCCCAGCCCCTTTGATTCGGGTGTTTACACTTGTAAGGCCATCAATGTGCTGGGGGAAGCATCTGTGGACTGCCGGCTGGAGGTCAAAGGTGAGGGCTGGAGGAGGGTCTCTTCTTGGGATCTTCTCATGGAAGGGGTAACAGGAGGCACCACCTCTTGGAAAATGGACTAGACAGAGCTGAGTGTGAAAACCAAGGCAGGACAGACGGGCTAGTAAAGATGGAGGTCAGGCTGTTCAAAGGACTTCCAAGAGGAAGCATGGCCCAGTGTGGGGAAGGAGGTGGTGGAGTCAGCCATCAGGACTGATAAATGCCCTGAGTGAGGGCATGTCACCTTGACACTATCTCACTCCCCGACCCCCGCCTCATGGGGCCCCAAGCTCTCTAACCAGCAGGATCTCTTACAGCATCAGCCACACACTGAAGAGTGACGGTGATGAAGAGAAAGGTAAGTGGCAGGACCACCCCCCTCTGCTACCTCTGGAGGTGGTACCAAGGGAAAGGGGAGGCCCAGGAGTCGGGGGTGGCTGAAGACAGGGTAGTCAGATTCAGGTACAAGTCACAGACAACTAACATACATGCATCTCTGGAGGTGCTCCAGAGACATGTGGGGGACGCTGCCGCATAGGTAAACCTGCTACGGCCTGGAAGAGGAGTGACTCAGTGGATGGTTACTAGAGAAGGGTCTAGTCCTGGCTCTGGGTGGCCTGGGGGCAAGGGCCTTCTCTTTGGACCTATTTCCTCATCAGAAAAGGGGATAGCCGTCCCTGCCTGCCTCTCCTTTTGGGGCTCTGAGGCTCTAGAGAAGTAAAGAAGTATCCTAGAGCTTGAGCTAGAATTCAGCCCTGGTCACTGGCCCCCTCTTGGGGAACCTAGGAAGGGTTGAGGGAGGCTGCCCTCCCTTCCCCCCATCTTTACCTCTTCCAGCAGAGCATGTGTAGCCCAGCTCCACCTGACTCCATGGGCTTATAAGGCATATCCTCTGTCAGATGCTGTAGGCCTGAGGGGCCCAGACTTCAAGGCCCAGAATCAGACTCCACAGATGCCCCTTTCCACAGTGATGACTAATGGAACCTCTACCAGCCTGGCCTCCATCACCCATAGGCTGGAGCCCCATGCCCAGGGATGAGCTTGGCAGGTTCCGGCCGGATTCCTTAGCACGAGGGGGGCCTGCAAGATGCCAGGATTCAAGTACCCTTACAGACGGCTGTACACTGCCAAGAAGCACTCCAATAAAAGTGTGTGGTGTACAGTGCGGGGGACTCTGACAGGAAGCGTCGTCATGAGGGGGGAGGCACTGTGTCACAATGAAGGGGGTGTTCAAATGTGTCACCCTGAGGAAGGTGCCAATGGGGGGGGTTCTCAGATGTCATGAGGGTTTTCCTAACATGCTGTGATTTTCAGGATCTTGCTACCCCGAGTGTGTCACTATAGAAACAGACACCCCTCTCTGTAACCCTCCTAGCTCCAAACGCCTCCACATCCCCCCTTCCCCAGCATCTCCCCTGCCTCCTACCATAGCTTCTTCTCCATCAAATTTGTCTTGTTGCCCTCGAGCAGAGGTAGAGGTAACCAGCCTTGTGCTCTTTTTTGAGGTTCACAGTCTTTTATTAGTCACATGGCCCTCCCTGAGAGCCAGGGGAGACCCCAGCTCTGAGAGAGGAAAGAAAAAAAAAAAATCCATTGCTATCGAGTCAATTCCAATTCATAGTGACCCCATAGGACAAAGCAGAACTGTCCCATAGTGTTTCCAAGGCTGGAAATCTTTACAGAAGCAGACTGCCACATCTTTCTCCTACAGAGTGGCTGGTGGGTTCAAACTGCCAACCTTTCGGTTAGTAGTCAAACGCTTAACCACTGCACTACCAGGCCTCCTTCTGAGAGAGCAAAGGGCCTGGAATTCACATTTAGAACCCAGGCAACCTGACATCCATGCTCCCCCACCCTCCTCTACACAAGAAGCTCCAGGCTTGCAGGGGGTGGGCTGAGCCTCCCCCAGAAGTCCTAAAGGCCCAAACTGTCTGCAACAGCTCTTCAGCAGCCTCTGGAAACTGTGCTAAATGCCAGGAGCACCAAGTGCCCGCAAGACCTTTCCATACACATTCCCAGTGGTGATCTCCTTTGGCCTGGGCCCATCTGTTACACCTCAGCCCAGGGGTGCCCACAGTCAGCACTGGGAGCCTTCAGAGGCTGACTCTTCCCCCCAGGCAAGCAGAATGTTCCCAAGATTGGCACGTGTGGGAGGCTCCTCTCCATGTGGCCAGAGGAAGCAGAGGTGGGTGTCCATCCCCTAGGAGAGTCCAGGCCCGTCATCAGGCTGGTAGAGCTGAGATGATAGGTGGTTATACTGTAGGCATCTCCTTAGGACACTCAGGACAAGAAGGAGGGCTCAGTGCTGCCGTCTGGTGGCTATTTGGAGCCTGCACCCCCCCCCTACACACACACACTGCACACTCCTCAGGGCTAAAGGAGGAACCTTCTAGGCACCACTCTGAGTACCCATCCAGGGTCTAGGAGCTCATGGAGAATGAAACAAATGTTGGAAATGAGAAACCATTTCTGGACCCACTCTTTCTCTGCCACTCCCTAGTCGGATCCAGGACCTCCCCAGGGCAAGGAGAGCAGGCATCTGGAAGGGCAGGGAGTCCTTGGAGGTGGGGACTGAGAGCCTTCTCTCCTGCCCCTTAGCTGCTTCTGGCCACCTTCTCCTACAGAACAGAAGAGAAAGCAAGGCCAAACCTCCCCTGTTTCCTTCCATCTTAGAGGGAATCCTCTCCTTAAGCTTGATCCCACGCCTGCACTACCAACACCCCAGCACCCGCTCCCCGCCTAGGTGGCTGCTTTACAGCCTCAGTCTCCCCAGGACTTGCCTGGCCCTAAAGCACTGGACTACTCATAGTTCAGGCAGGTGGGGAGGCTCAAGCCACTTTCCTCCTCTCCTTGGGTGCCTAGCTCCATCCCCAGGTCTGCCCTCCCAAACTTCCTCCAGGACCTAGAGGTCCAGGTCAGTTAGCTCCCTGTGGAGGGACCCCTGCTCTATGGACATCTCCTCAGCATCCCCCCTACACCCACACTCCACAGCCCAGCCGGGGAAAGGCTCGGGGAGACAAGTGGGAGAGCGGGGAGGCGTGAACCAGGCTGAGACCATTGGATGTAGAGCTGGTGGGGGTAAGAGATGCAGTCTAGTCACCTGGCCTCTCTTCAGGGAGGTCCTCCTCAATTGGGGGTACAGCCTGGCAGCGGAAATGGTCATTCCAGATCTTAATGAAGGTGACCCGGAATTTCTGGATGCGGAAGGCATAGACAATGGGGTTCATGGCTGAGTTGCCATGAGTGAGGAATATGGCAATGTAGATGAGGATGCTGGGCTTGTGGCAGGAGGGGCAGAAGAGGGTGATGCAGTTCAGAATGTGCAGGGGCAGCCAGCTGACGGCAAATAGGAAGAGGATAAGGGCCAGCGACTTGGCGATCTTCAGCTCCTTCCCGTAGTACTTCTGCGGGTCACCAGAGGAGGCTGACACCTTCTTGTTGAGCTGCTTGCGGATCAGGTAGAAGACTTCCAGGTAGATGAGGACCATGAGGAGCAGTGGGGGCAGCACCCAGACAAAGAAGTTGAAGTAGACCATGTATTCCATGCTGATGACCTTCTCAAACTCACACTTGATCACGGGCTCACCCGCACTCCCGTTTGCCACCCAGTCCCATTTCACCTGGCTCAGATTGTTCCAGCCGAACATAGGGGTCAGGCCCACCACGAAGGAGAGGATCCAGCAGCCGGCGATGGCTACCACGGCCCTCCGGGGAGTCACCACCGTCTTGTACCTGAGTGAGGGAGAGGAGGTCAGAATGAGAGTAGCTCCCCTACCCCTCTTCCGTCTCCCCAGTAAACAGCTCCCAGGGCCCCATGAGTAGGGAGGCACATGTCTTTTCTAGAGGGCCATGTGTTCAGGATCTAAGACTTAGGCCAGAGCTTGCAACGCATTGGTTCATCTCTCCAGCAGAGGAAGGAAACCTGTTTAGGGATAACAGAAACAAGAACAGAAGATAACAAGGAACTTCTTTAGGAGATTTAATAAAAATTAATATACCAGTTGCCATAGAGTCCACTATCAGGCGACCCCACGTGTCAGCCTAATAACTATTAAAATGTCTTGCTTAGGTCTCATTCCTGATGATCTCAAAGTGCATCCCACATGTCCTCTCAGATAAAAGAAGTTCTGGGCATGAGTTTATCAGGAAAGGCCAAAGGAACACACGGTGCTCCATAGGGTTTTCAGGGGCTGATTCTTCAGAAGTAGATCACCGAACTTTTCTTCTTAGGTGCCTCTGGGTAGGCTTGAGCCATCAACCTTTTGGTTAGCAGCCAAGGATGTTAACTGTTTGCACTCTCTAGGGACTCCTTAATAAAGATTAAAACCCAAGGCGATTGAGTTGATTCCAACTCACAGCAACCCTATAAGGCAGAGTAGAACTGCCTCCATAAGGTTTCCAATGTTATAGATCTTTAAAGAAGCAGATTGCCTTATCTTTCTCCCACAGAATGGCTGGTGGGTTTGAACCACCGACCTTTTGATTAACAGCCCAATGCTTTAACCACGGTGCCACCAGAGCTCCTTTTTAACCAAAGTAAAAATTTCTCACAGGTGTTCTCATCCCTGCTGGATAGCTCACCATCACCTCACAACAGCCCTCTGTGGTAGGAAAGCACTGGCAGAGTGTGTGCCCACTTGACAGATGAGGAAACTGAGGTTCAAAACTGTCAAGTGATCTGCCCAAGGCTCACAGAAGGTGGCAGCTCTGTCCAGTGCCTCCTAACACACATCTACACTGACTCAAATAACCAGGTGATTAACAACCACCCCATCCCTTGGGATGATTGACACAAACGTCAGGACCTGCCCACAACTCCCATTCTTTTGGCCCTGGCCGTACTCTGCTGGCACTGCCTCATCCAACACCTCCATCTTCACTCCCCTGCCCCTTCTAATCCCTGTACGGTGCTCATCTCCTGAGGGGCTGATCTCCAGGACATTAGAAACCAGCTCTGCAATCCCAAGCTAATTGGGAATGATCCTTAGGAAAGAAAACTGATGTTCATTGAGTATTTATTACATGCTAGACTCTGTCAAAGGAACTCTGGCAGCATTGTGGTTAATGCATTCAGCTGCTAGCCAAAAGGTTGGTAGTTCAAACCCACCAGCCGTTCCATGGGAAAAACATGAGGCAGTCTGCTTCTGTAAAGATTTACAGCCTTGGAAACCCCCTGGGGCAGTTCTATTCTGTTGTATAGGGTCACTATGAGTCAGACCCACTTGATGGCAGTGAATGGGTGGAGACTCTTTCATTCATTCACTCATGCCTGCATACATTAATGCACTCATTCCACAAACATTTATTGAATGCTTTACACATCAGCCATTGCTCGCTTGTGCTGGGAATAAGATGAAAGACCCCTGCCTTTATGCACCTTTTACGTTGGGTGAAAAGACAGATAATCTTTTAAAAGAAAGGAAATAAATAAGCCAGGCAATTAGATGGTGATATGTACTCTGAAGAAAACAAACAGAGGAGGCTGCTCATAGGCCAGAAGGGACCAGCCCCACCTTCCTCCTTCTTACTCCCACCGAGTGCTGAGGGTTTCAACATTTCCCAGCTCCCCACTTCTCTTTAAACCAAACCGGCCTGCAGCCACCGCATCCTCTGCCCACACACTGCCTTGGCACGAGTGGCCAAGCTGTGGCCCGCCCAGCTCTGCTGAGGCACTGGCTCAGCAGCAGCAGCCTGCCCAGTTGTTTTTTTCCAATGCAGCTTCTGAGATGGATGGGGCGCCCTCCTGAGCATGTAAACAGCTCCCAAGGCCACAAGTGTGCAGGGGCCCTCCAACTGCCTCCTGTTCTGACCAGTAGGATCTGCTAGTTTCTCCTTCACTGCCTTGATACTTAAGGGCCCTCTTTCCCTGGACAACATTTCTCCTAGACCGCTCCTGCTCCGTGAAGGCTTTACAGGGAAGAGAAGGGGAACAGTCGGAAGAGTGGAGAAACCAGCCATCTTCCAACTCACCCCATCTAGAAGACAAGGGCTACAAGGAACCTTGGGAATCTTATTTCTGATTCATCATCATTCCATGGGGAAACTGAGGACCCCAGCTGACTCCAACCCTTTCTGTGTGGCGTTCCTTCCCCACTTATAATTGTAGGGTCCTTGTGTCCCCAAGCTACTAAGGAAACTTGAAAGTTGACCAGTTCACTTATGCCTCACTGAACTTCTTTCTTAAACAGAATCCTCATCCTTATTCTCTTTCTGTGACTGAAGCCCATTCCATATTGTTGTGTCCTCAGAAGAATAACTGGGACCTGGGGGAGCCTGAAGGAGCTCTGGTGGTGTAGTGTCTATAGCATTTGACTGCTAACCAGACAGTTGGTGGTTCAAACCCACCAGCCACTCCCCTACCAATTAGGAGGTGCTATTATAGTTTTTCCTTTCCCTGAGCTCTTGGCCTGCCAAGCCCCTAGATAAACTCACACTTAAGAAAACATCCAGTATTTCTAGATGCTCAGCAAACACAGCTAACCCACCCCTGCCATCAAGTCGATTCTGACTCATAGCAACCCTACAGGACAGAGTAAAACTGCCCAATAGTGTTTCCAAAGCTGTAAATCTTTACAGAAGCAGACTGCCTCATCTTTCTCCTGCAGAACAGCTGGTGGGTTGGAACCTCTGACCTTTTGGTTAGCAGCTGAATGCTTTAACCACTGCATCACCAGTGCTCCTTAAATACAGCCTAATAGCTATTAAAATGTCTTGCTTATGTCTCATTCCTGATGATCTCAAAGTGCATCCCACATGTCCTCTCAGATAAAAGAAGTTCTGGGCATGAGTTTATCGGGAAAGGCCAAAGGAACACACATCATTCTATCAAGAGAGCAGAAGACTGAGGGGAACTGCCACAGCTGTCACAAGGTGGAGGGTGGGGCCAGGCCCCAGGTGACCCTTGCCAGGACCACATGGGCTGCAGCTTCAAAAGGAAGGAAGGAGGCCAGGCACTCCCCAACCCCCACCTTCCCTGCCTATGACTATTGTTTATGTCACATTTACCATTTTCAGAGCCCTTTTACGTTCACATCTCAGGTAACGCTGTAACCGGCTGTAACCACTCAGTGACGTGAGCACCTCAGATAATGGAATTTCACGGATTATCAACTCAAGGCCCCAAAATGGGTCGTAACTTGCCTGAGTCTCCTGACTCCAAGACTAGCTGTCCTTCAAGCACCAGGCTGACTGTGGGTCAGTTAGATGTGGGGATGATTGGCAGACTAGGAATCTCTTACCTAAGAGCTTTAAAATGGGAACATCCGGACCCTGTTCAAAGAGGGTGCTGCCAGAGATGGGGGATGGGCAAGGTGGCTTCTGGCATGGCTGTCCAGCCTGAGGATGGGGGCTGTCTGACCCAGGACCCACATCTGGGCAGTCATGACCAACTGAAAGGCAGGAGGTGGACAACAACAGAGGGAGGAGGCAAATTCCAGCTAGAAAGGTGTCTTCCCCCCCCCCTTGCTTCCTCCCCCTCACCCTTCCTGTCTGCCTGGAGCCCCAGGGTTAAAGCTTTCCTGGGGCTCCTCCAGGACCAGGTCCCAGCAGACCCTGTGGCTTAGGGTATCAGTTCTCATCTGTTTTTCTTGCTATTTTCTCCTTGGTGGGAAAGGGCTGGACCCAGGACCTTCACTGAGGTGGGGCAGGCTCTCACAGGAAGGGCTACTGCCCAGGGCCAGGGAAGAAACTTTCTTATCCTTACACATGGGAAAGCGAAGCAGAGGCTACAAGTCCTAGGGTGCACACAGGGTGGGCCACGTTGAATGTACCATCGACATTTGAGCTGTCTTTCCCTAAGTCAGGGTCCAAGGCCTCACCAACCCCCAGGGCTGTGCTAAGGACTGGCAGAGAGATGGCTGCCTCAGGAGTGTGCTGTGTCCAACAGGAGGAAAAGCAACAGAATGGAGACTTTAAAACAGCAAGTAGGGCCTGTCCACAAGACAAGCATGGCAGGCAGCTCCTCAAAGATCTAAGTGAAGGAACCAAGGAGATCCCCACAACCTCCAGATTTTCCCTTGATAAAATCCCACTGTTGGGGAGGCATTCCTTCAGGTTAAGACTTACCCTCTCTAGGTGTTTCTTTTTAAAGCCAAGAGAACACAAACATCATAACGTGAATTAGTTCAATAATCAGTATATTCAACAACAATAAAATAAATGTTGTTGTTGTTGTTATGTGCCATTGAATCAGCCCTGACTCATAGCGACCCCTCCTCGGATTTCTGAGGTAGTATCACTACAGAAGTAATGTAAAAATAAAAAAAGAGATGCTGGGAGTAAACAAACAAAAAAAAAAAACCTGTGGAACACAACCCAGAAGACTGGGTACCAGGAATAATAGAGACCTTGAGAGGGAAAAGGAGAGTTTGAGGAAAGAGGTAGGAAATGAGAGTTACCAAGAGCTGGCCTGACTGAAAAGAAAATTATTTCATATCCTAGAGCTCTGGTAGGATAGTGCCTAAGGCACTTGAATGCTAACTATAAGGCTGGCGGTTCAAACCCACCAGCCACTCCTCGGAAGGAAGATGGGGCAATCTACTTCCATAGTGATACTGCCTCGGAAACCCAAGGAGGGGTCGCTATGAGTCGGGTCCAACTTGACAGCACATAACAACAACAACAACAGCTGTTGCCAAGAGTAAGTAAGTGTGGTTCAGGGGTGGAATTTAGAGATGGAGGTCTACAAATCCTGCATTCAAATTGGGCAGGGTAGAGGCAGCCACTGGTACTTC